ACAGTAAGGAGAATTGCTAGTGAGATAATCGAGTAAAAGGGTGCCAAGTAGTTCCTGTGCAATGTTGTGTCTATTGAATATTTTAAGAGGAACTTGGATGCAAAAGTTTGGTTGCAAATGGGCAATAGGCATTTTTAAGGAATTTATTTCCACTCCTGTTGTTGGTCTCTAATTAACCTCGAAGAGAAAAATTTAAAAGTTAATATTGCAATATCACTGGTCGAATTAGGAAGCATAGGAAAGAGTGGTGCAGGGACTCCATATGCAAATTTTGTGTCAGGGGAGGCATGCATATTAATAAAAATGGCCAACCTGTGTTGTTTAATATGGCAAATCAATTGAAGAGGACTTTAATTTTGAGGGGATGAAGGCTTAGGTCCCTACCACTCAGCTGTGTCTTTGTTGAAAATGCATACTTTTTGATGTGTTTTTGCTGGTCATCTATATGAAAACCCCTAAAAATGTTGATGAAAATGGAGAATTTTGAAAACAGTTTCAAATAATGACTGGTCCCTAAGTTGGTAGTAATATTCCATCTTTCTGATCCCAAACACTATAATTGATGGTTGTCACAAGTTATTAACTTTTCAATTTTGCATATTGCATTTCTAGTGTTTGGATTGGTTCACTCAACTCTGGTCATGACTTCATATTCTGAATCACTTTGTTTGGAAATGCAATGTGCCAAATGTTAGAGAGCTGAAAAAAGACTCCAAACATCCAAATGTTCAGGATTTAATGAAATTTAAGAAAATGATTATTCCATGCACACTTGTTGGTAATAGCCAACTCTGCACAATGCACCTCGTTCTCTATTCACCATCTCATATCCAACATGCGTTCATGCATTAATTGTAAATTATTATATGTTGTAGCCAGTTGGAGAGGTTGGATTGGTGAAAAAGAGAGAGGAGGATCTTACTGCTCGAGGCTAAGCATTTTTGGCTTAAAAACTGTCAAGTTCCAAAATTTGAATCACCCTTACAAGGAGAATTTGTTGCACATTCATGAGCCTCTTAAGTTGGTAATCATTGCCAGCTGTGATACTGTTGGGAAAAATCAAATGCTTGTCACTCTTATGGGTAATAAAATTAATAACAAGAGTTAGTTGAGTAACAAGAAACTAATATATTTAGATCCTACCGTGTGACTGAAATGTAGGGACTCTACCACCACTTGGCTGTGGTATGAGGGTATGTCTGGGTATGAGGGTGACCCCCAAATATGGTGCTGCTTAATGCAGGTTTCACTGTACTTGCAAAAGCGAAAAAGAGCTTTAGTCCAGAAGCCTTAATGTTTTTGATTATTTGTTAAGGCCTTCATCCATAAGCAATCATATCGCATAATTCAACATTTTTGTAGATGCCACTCAGGTAGCATGACCCACCTACCTAGCTACAATTTTGATTGTATCATTAATGCTTGAATGCAAACAGATCTAAAAAGAAAAGAGTGCCTGAAGTTGCATCGAGCAGACTGAGCATGAGCAGAAATTCAGTTTGTCTGATGTGGTTGCACGAATGATATTTTGCCTT